CCTCCTCTCCCCCCCCTCGCCCTCCTCTCCATCCTCCCCCCCTCCTCCCTTTCTTCCTCCTCTCGTCCCCCTCCTCCCCACCCCTCCCCTCCTCTCCTTCCTCCCCCTCCTCCCCTTCTTCCTCTCCCCCTCCTCCCCAACCTCCTCCTCCTCACCTTCCTGCTCCTCCTCATCCTCCTGCTCCTCCACCTACTTCTGGCACATTTACTAGTCCTTGCCTGTGCTATCACAAGGACCAAGAACGTCCTTGTTGTGCCGGCTTTGGCCAGCTCAAGTCCCAGTACCCGTCTGTCCTTTGGGGGCCAGTTCTCCCTGAGGCTGATCCACCTGATTCCCTCCTGGACCCCGGCCGCCTCTGGGGGCTGGGTCCTGCTGTTTGCAGCTGTGACCAGCAGGTTTCCCAGCACTCTGCCCAGGGCAGCCAGGGGGCCTGAGGGCACAGGACACAGCAGCTGTCAGGGACCGGAGTCCCAGGTGGGGAGCAGGGCTGGAGGCTGTGAATGTCAGGCTGGGCCCTCAGCTGGTCCTCTCTGCTCCTGCCCAGGAAGGGCAAGGGCAGCACATGGGCCAGAGAGGCCTGGGCCAGCCTGGGTTTCTGAAAGGACCCTTCAGATTTTCCAGTGGGGCCCAGGGTGGGGGTGGGGCCTGAGAAGGAGGTGTCCCAAGGGCTGCACCAGCTCTGGCCTGTATTCTTCCTTGAGAAGGGCTTCCAAGTGCACAACGGGAAACCTGGGGCTGCAGGCAGGGTGGTAGCCATCATCACCATGGCTTGGCAGGACTGCCCTAGGCACCTGGCCCTGGCAAGGAGCCAGGACTGGGTACACTCCCTTCCCAGGGCGCCTGGAGCTGGCTGGCATGGGGTTCTGTGGATCAGGCCTGCAGCCCTAGTATTGGGTCACTGGGGATGGCAGGGCGGGGCCAGGGGAGGAAGAGGGATTGGAATGTGGGCATGCATTACTATGGCCCCAGGTTCTTGTCAGGAAGGACACCCCGAGGACCTGGGAGCAGTGGTGGCCCCTGCATCCATTGGGGACCCCAAGGCTCAGGAAAGAGAGCAATGGGTTGTGGGGACACCTGGCAAGCAGGTAGGAGGTGTCCACTGTCCTACCCCCAAGAGCAGCTACCCCCTGCTATGTTGAGCTGCCCCCCAGGATCTCTCTGGGCTCCCACCCTACGGAGCTCCTGGAGGCCGGTTAGGCCACATGGAAGTGCTGAGCCTGCAGCTGCGGTGGGTGGGAAGCTTTTCCTCCAGGGAGGCTGGGTCCTTGCGGGACTTGCAACGTGGGGCCGGGGCTGGCTGGACAATGGCACACTCTGCTGGACTCCCACCTTCCTCGGAAGGGTTTTGGGTTTTGGCGCTGGACTCCTGGGGCTGGGTGTGGTGGGCAAAGGTTTGCCCTACGTGCTGCATGCCCTGCTGGGGCAGGGGTGCACCCTGTCGAAGCTCAGGGTCTGGAGGGTAGAAACCGAGGAACTTTGCCCAGCTTGCTTCCTCCTCCCAAGCTCTGTGCCTCGGTTTCCCTGTCTGTAAGTGTGTCCTATCCCCTCTTAGTTAGCTGGATGTGGGTCTACCCTGGGGGTGCAGGCTGCTCTTGGTAGAGGGACTGGATCATTGTCACTGAGTCTCTGGAGTGGGAGGCAACACACCACCCTTGGTTCTCTCCCGCAGACATAGGGCCTATAGAGGATGAGCGGGCATCCAGAGTGGGCATCCAGGCCCTGGTACAAGTGGAGGCGCTGGGCAGGCCTTGAGGGACAGAGGTTTGGCCACCTGCAGGCGCTTGCGTGGGGTCCCCAGGTGGTGCTGGACCTGTGCAGCCTGCCTGTAACCAGATGCCCCTGTGGCTGCCTGCCCATGCGCCAGCCAGGACTCTCCTCCTCCTCCCGGCAGCAGTTGCTATAGTGATAGGGGAGGCAGCCATGGCCTGTTGCAGCAGTTACTGTGTCAGAGGTGCCCGGTGGCAGGGCGGGTATGGGTGGGGCTGGCACTCCGGGCCATGACCCGGCCTCTGGTGTAGCCACCTGCACAGGCAGCCACCCTTGCCCTGGTGTGTGTGCCATGCACCCATCCTGCAGCCCTGTGGGTGCCCACCATGCCTCCTCAGCTAGCCCTGGGCTCGTTCCTGCCTCAGGGAGGGGGTGGAGGCTGGTACGGGCTGGGGCGGGCATAGGGCGCAGACACACAGCATGGTGTTCCACACCACAGAGCGCTATTGTCAGGGCACAGTAAACACAGCAGCAGCTGCCCCACCCCAGGGGACTGGGGACTCAGGCCCTGGGCCTCACAAAGCACTGCTGAGTGGGGGCTCTGAAGTCTATTTTGGGGTGGGGGCAAGGATGCAGGAAACCTGGTGCCTCTGAGAAGATCCATGTGGGTCCGAGCTGGTTGGGGGTGGTAACATCCTCGGGCAAGGGAGGGGGCAGGGCCCCTCTGTCCTTTGGGTCTCAGAGAGGCTGTTCTGCAGGGGGCTCCCCAGAAAGCAGGTGGTCCCAGCTCCTCCTCCTCTCTCCCCGAGCTGGGGGCAGAGGGCATGAACTGGTGAAGCCCTTCATCTTCCAGGTGAAAGTCAGAGCAGGTCTCACCAGGGCTCACCTTGGTGCACAGCCCTGAGCAGCAGGACCCATCCTGGGAAGCCTAAGCTGCAAGGGCCAGGGCAGGCGTGGCTGCGCAAGGTCAGGGGGAGGAGCCAGGGCAGGAAGAGGTGCCTGTGCCTCAGCACCTGGGGGCTGTCAGACCCCTGACCGGATCTTCCTGGAGGCTCAGGATCCTGGGCTGAGGCCATGCCTCCCCCACACCAGGCCTCATCTCCTTAGGTCCTTGGTGGGGGTTTGGGGTGTGGCAGCAGTGGGGAGGAGGGTGATCCAGGGGAAGTGAGAGAGCGGGCAGGGGCAGAGACCTCACGTGGCTCAGATGGCCTTCAAAATCCTGCCCAGGCGGCCCTGCAGGTGGGGAGGGAGGGCCTGAGCTGGGCAGGGGTTTGGTCGGAGTGGATCTCAAGCTGGCCGATTTGTCCCTGCTGGCCCTGAAGCTCCTCAGAGGGGAGGTAGTCCCAGCATAGCCAGCAGAACCTGGGCTGGGGGTTGGGAGACCTGACTCACTTGGGCCAGACAAGGCTCACCCTCTCGATGTCCTGAAGGGGGCCGAGACCTATGCTGACCTCTGTGGCCCCCAGGGAGCATAGGGTCCTGGCTGAGCTGGGCTGGTCCTGTTAGGAGGTCAGGAGAGGCTCGGGCCAGCGCACATCTGTCCTGTCCAGCCCCGGGCAGGCCAGTGGCAGGAAGACCTGGCTGCCCCACGCAGGTGGCCTCACTTGGCCTGTTCTTTCCAGTGGGTCTTGGCCTTCGAGATCTTTATCCCCCTGGTCCTCTTCTTTATCCTGCTGGGGCTGCGGCAGAAGAAGCCCACCATCTCTGTGAAGGAAGGTAAGGGCTGGCAGGCGCGGCCCGGGGCGCAGCCGGGGGGCAGGGAGGGCCAGGCAGCCCTCGCGGCATCACAGGTGTCTGCACACATGTCCCTGCTCCCGTGACTCCCCAAGGCGTGGTCCAGGGCCGGGGCCATGAAGGCCGTGGCTGGTGTGGTGGCCATGAGTGACAATGGTGCCTGTTCCTAGCGGGCCCGGGCGCTCACTGGTCTCCTCTGTTCTGTTTTGACCCACCCCTGCCCTGCATGGTCTCTTGTCCTCCTCTTCGGCCCACGGCCTGCATGCAGTCTGTAAGTGAGCGGCTGCCTCCTTGTTGCTGGCCCAGGCGGCAGCGCAGGATGGCCCAGGGGTCCTCCGGTGCGGCTTGAGCATCCCTCCCCGCTTGCATTAACACCTTTCTCAGGCCCCGCAAGTCCTGCAGAGCCCCGCCCGCTGTCAGGAGCAGCTGGCTCACAACTGGGGAATGGTGGGCAGTGAAGGGCCAGGCCACCTGGGCCACAGCTGGTGCCCAGATATAGCTGCTGGGCATCTCTCTGCCTGGCCATTCCTAGTAGGGGTGGGATGCCTGGGCTAGCCTGGCTGGGGCTGGGTCAGCTTGGCTGCTCTCCCTTCACACTCCTGTGGCTCCTGCACTGACTCTGCTAACCAGTTGGCCAGAGAGGTTAGAGGTCATTGTGCAGTGGGGGCCCCATGTGCTTCCCTGGGCTCTATGGGGCAGTTCCACACCTGAATTTTTGGGGGGCTGTGCCAGGGCATTTTGGCCCTGCACTGGCTGAAGGGAGAGGGATGCTCTGGGAGTCATGGGGAAGCAGTGGTGAGTGACCCTTTGACCTCTGACCTGCTGGAATTACTTGCACTGGAACTCTTGTCCCGTGGCACAGCTGGGGACCAGGCGCTCTGTCCCCATCTTCTCCCTGAGGCTGCTTTTCCATCCTGACTTTCTCTAAATTTTTTCTCTTGGCTTCTGTCTCTCTCTCCTTTCTTGATTCTTCTCCCTCTTTCCCCCTTTCGTGTCCCCCATCCCCCCACCCTCTCACCCATCCTGTCCCCCACCAGCCTTCTACACGGCAGCCCCCCTGACGTCAGCCGGAATCCTGCCCGTCATGCAGTCGCTGTGCCCAGATGGCCAGCGCGATGAGTTTGGCTTCCTGCAGTATGCCAACTCCACGTGAGTGCCCCTCCCCCACCTCCATGCAGCCCAGCCACCCCTCCCCCACCCCTTCCCAGCGGGTGACACACTGTGGTGATGCAGGGTCACGCAGCTGCTGGAGCGCCTCAACCGCGTGGTGGAGGAGGGCAACCTGTTCGACCGGGCACGGCCCAGCCTGGGCTTGGAGCTCGAGGCTCTGCGCCAGCACCTAGGGGCCCTTGGCTCAGGCCCGGGCACCTGGGAGAGCCACTCTGAAAGACCTGCAGGTGCGCCCTGACACGGGGAGCGCTGGGTGCCAAGGGCTCTGCAGCCAACTGGGTTCCAACCCTGCTTTGTCACTCCATGCCACGGCTAGCCTCCCTCGACCCTGGGTCCCCTCCATCATGGGAGGGCCCCGCCAAACTTCCTGCCACAGTCCCCAAGCCCTGGTGCCAGGGGCTTTGCACTGAGCCCGTTCAGGGTGCCTTGGCCTGGGGTGGAGCTGGCCCCTCAACCTTGTTTCCCTGCCCGTCCAGCCTTCTCCTTCTCTCTGGATTCGGTGGCCAGGGATCCCAGGGAGCTCTGGCGTTTCCTGATGCAGAACCTGTCACTGCCCAACAGCACAGCCCAGGCCCTCCTGGCTGCCCGTGTGGACCCTCCCGAGGTGAGCTGTGCTGTGCTGCGTCAGCAATGCTTGCGTCTGCTGGTGGATGCAGCGCCCTCCCCATACCCCCTGGATGCGGCAGGGGTAGGGGGAAGCAGTGGCAGCTGGGCAGCCTCAGGGCTCTGAGGAGGCCCCCAGCCAGGCTCTCGAGCCCCTGCCTGAGCCACACCCCTCTCCCCCCCAGGTCTATCGCCTGCTGTTTGGCCCTTTGCCTGCTCTGGATTCAGAGTCAGGCCTCCCCAGGGGTCAGAAGCCCTGGGGCCGCCTGGGTAGCAATCCTCTACTCCGGATGGAGGTGAGGGGGCCTATCGGTGGGGTGGGAGCTGTGCTGCCCAGGGGTGCCAAAGGGTACCCTTGACAATATGGAGCTCCTTCTGGGAGGACACTGAGGAGTTTGTGGCTGGCGTCGGGAGGGGACTCAGGAGGGTGATGTGAGTGCCCCTCAGTATCGTAGAACCAGGCAGTCCCAGAGCTGGCACAGCGGGTGGTCTTCTCCTGTTTGGGGGCAGAGTCCCTGCCATGGCCCTGGCTGACCGCTGCGCCCCACCCCCAGGAGCTGCTGCTCGGTCCTGACTTCCTGGAAGAGCTCACATGTGCGCAGGGCTCCGAGGAATTGGGCCGGATCCTCACTGTGCCTGAGGGTCAGCAGGCAGCCCTGCAGGGCTACCAGGATGCTGTCTGCAGTGGGCAGGCTGCAGCTCGGACCCAGCGCTTCTCTGAGCTGGCCACTGAGCTCCGGGACCAGCTGGACGTGACCAAGATCGCCCAGCAGGTGAGGCCCTGCCTGCTAGTTGGCCAGCAGGCGCTCTGCCCGTGCTGGAGGAGGTGCTGGGACTACTCAGAGTTTTGGGGGGCTCCTGGCCCAGCCTGTGCCTGGGATGGTGCCTGTGGCTGGGTGTCCAGTGCTCCCCATGATGCCATGATTTGTGTCCCTCGCCCCAGTCTGTATCTCCCAGCCCCTGGCCAGGGTTCTCCTTAGCCGGGCTGCAGCCCCTCTTTCCCAGCTTGTAGTCCCTCTGCTGGTGCCTTCCCTGTTCTACCCCTGATCTCACTCTCCCACCTGCCGGCCCCGCCTCCCCACCAAACCCATAGCCCTCCCTGTGCCTAAATTGGCCCACATGCTCTGTCTCCCCTCAGCTGGGCCTGGATGCCCCCAATGGCTCGGACTCCCAGCAGACGGCCCCACCCCCACGGAGGCTGCAGGCGCTCCTGGGGGACCTG